CTTAGAAGGTCCATTCAGTCCATTAACGTTTAAGGAGAGCAACTCAATTCTCCCTTCCCTTTTAGAAGCCATATTTAAGAGAAAGTGTCTCTTATATGTCTACTTATTTTTCGCCTTTACAGTTCTATGTTTTCTCTTCTTCTTTGGATTCAAAGTTTGTATTCTTGCTGTGCATCAACATTCGCTATTTCTCCTTCCTCAGAGTGGTACGCTATTATTTCCATTTCTTCAGTACTTTTTTCTCCTTCTTTTGAGACACCAGGTTCTTCCTCTTCAAGCATAACTCTAAATTTTTCGTAGAACTCTTGCGCTTTGAGAATTGAATCCAGTCTATATCTTACAGAGTTCCAAGTGAAAAACATTCCTTCTGGTGTTAGCCACTTAAAAATAATCACTTTCTTAATCAGTTTTGCAGTAAGGAATAAGTATTTCTTTTGCCCTTCTCTAACCCTCCATGGTATTTGTTTCAGAACCTTCACCTTCAGAACCTTCATCATCAACCTTCTTGATGATCATCTCTCTTTAATGGTTTCTCGCATGTAGCCCTCAAAACATTGTCTCTTATAGACCTTAGAGCAAATTTGACATGGACTTCCCTCGGGAGTTTGTTTTTTCTAGTGTAGCTTGAGTTGACTCTATATATCAAGTCAATTGCCATATTCATGGCCTCATTCTCAATTTCTAAGAGGTCTGCCAACATGCCAGTCACTAATTCCTGCAAATCTTCATTCTTTTCCTCTGATATATTCTGGAATCTTAAGTAGTAGGATGCCTTTTCCATCTCTAGTACAGCCATTGAATTTCATATTGACTTATTTGTTTGTTATGTTTCTTTATCTACCGTCTCCAGCTTTCCGTGTGTTTGCTGCATTTTTTGCGTATTCTGTTCAGTTTTGAGTCGGACATCAGATAGCTGAGTTGTTATCTCCTTAATAGAGTTATCCAATTTGTTCTTTCTGCTCACTTGACATACTTTCCAGCTGTGTTGTCATCACCTCTTGAGATGCTTGCATCACCTCTTGGGATGCTTGCAAAGCTGTTAAGGCCATCTGTATCACCAAAGTCATCATTTGCAATTCTCTTAAGCTTTTTGCAACATATTCTGTCTTAGACTGATAGATTGGGCTCTGACCAGCTGAGCAGGGTGCCGAAGAAGAGGAGGGCTGTGTTTTCCTTATGATGAATGTTATTCACCAAAAGGATTTTGATAACACAGCAAAAAGGTAAAGGAGAGAAGGAAAAAATAGAAAGGGGAAGGGAGATGGAAAGAAGAAGAAGAAAAAAAAGGAAAAGATAAAAAAAGGAAAAGAGCTTGCAGTAATTTCAATGGCCACCGGGTGGCAGCAAAATGCTATTTAAAGAGAAAGTTTCATAGAAACATAGAAAACAGAGTGAGTCAGAAGGGACCTACCGGGCCATCTAGTCTGCCCTCTGGCACCAGCCGGCTCCACTCACGACATGCCCACCATGTGGACGTCCAGCCTATTCTTGAACACCCGCACCAATGGGGCCTCAACGACCTCTCGTGGAAGCCCATTCCACACCCTCAGGGTCCTGACTGTCAGGAAGTGCTTCCTGGTATCCAAACGGAACCTTGGCTCCCTGAGCTTTACTCCGTTGGAACGCGTTCTGCCTTCCTGTGCAGAGGAGAATAGGTCTCTACCCATCTCCATGTGACATCCCCTCACATACCTGTATGTCACCAACATATCCCCTTGGAGTCTCCTCTTCTCCAGGCTGAAGAGACCCAGTTCTCTCAGTCTCGCCTCATACGGCATCCCCTGCAAACCGGCCACCAACCTTGTGGCCCTACGCTGCACTGACTCCAGCCTGGCTATATCCTTTCTGTAATGAGGGGCCCAAAACTGAACACAATACTCCAGTTGCGGGCGCACTAGAGTCATGTATAGTGGTAGTAATACCTCTCTTGATCTAGAAGCCACACTTCTGGCTATGCAACCAAGGGTGGCGTTCGCCCTCTTGACCACCACATCACACTGCTGACTCATGTTTAGCTTGCAGTCAACCAGTACTCCAAGGTCCCTTTCACAAGTGCTGCTCTCCAGCCACTTGTCCCCTAACCTGTACTTATGACAGCTATTCCTATGCCCCAAGTGCAAGACCTTGCACTTAACCACATTGAACGCCATCCTGTTGTCTCCTGCCCACTTCCATAGTCTGTCCAGATCCTTTTGGATCTGGAGTACCTGCTCCTCAGTTGTGGCCACTGCTCCAGTTTTAGTGTCATCTGCGAATTTGATCAGCAGACTGTTCACCCCTTCTTCCATGTCGTTAATGAAAAGATTAAACAGGATTGGCCCCAGGACAGAGCCCTGGGGGACCCCGCTTGTCACTGGCCGCCATCCCAATGATTCCCCGTTAATGGTTACCTTCTGCTTTCGGTCAGTCAACCATGCCCTAATCCACCGGACAGTGCTTTGGTGTATCCCAAAACTCCTCAGTTTCTCCACCAGGATATCATGGGACACTTTGTCAAAGGCCCTGCTGAAATCCAGGTATACCACATCCACTGCATCCCCTCCATCTAGCCATCGCGAAACCTTGTCATAGAATTCTACAAGGTTTGTCTGGCAGGACCTGTTTTTGCAGAAGCCGTGTTGTGTGGCTGTCAGCCTCTCTTCCCTATCTAGCATCACTAGATCTCTCTCTATTATGAGCCTTTCCATTGTTTTTCCTACAATGGACGTAAGGCTAACCAGTCTATAATTCCCCATGTCCTTTCTACTGCCCTTTTTGAAAATTGGGACCACTGATGCCACCCTCCAGTCCTCTGGAACTTCACCCGTTCTCCATGTGGTCTCAAAAATGGAGGCCACCGGGCGTGAGAGAACCCCTGCCAACTCTCTAAGTACTCTCGGGTGTAACCAGTCAGGGCCTGACGCCTTTGTAATGTCCAATGCCCTGAGGAGCCCCTCGACTTCAAGGGGGGTGATTCTAATCTGTTCCCCTAAGTCCCCAGCCTCATCTATTCTCCTATGTGGATATCCCCCATCCTGCTTTGGGGAGAACACAGAGGCAAAATAGTCATTTAGCATCTGTGCCTGTTCCCTCATATCAGTCACTGGATCTCCTTCCTCCTTATTTAGTGGTCCCACCACTTGTCTCCCCTTCCTCTTCCTATTTACATGCTGAAAGAAGCCCTTTTTATTGCTCTTGATATTCTTGGCAAGTCTCAGCTCGTAATCAGCCTTAGCCTTGCGAAGAATCCTTCTGCAACGGGCCTCCTCCTGCCGGTATACCCTTTTGTCTATTTCCCCCAGTACCCATTTCCTATGGAGGTTCCTCTTTCGTCTAATCCCTCTAACCAACTCCTTTTGCATCCATGGCGGTGCTCTCCTCCACCTCCCCATCTTACTGACTAGAGGTATCGTCAAGGCTTGCGCCTCCAAAACCTCCCTTTTGAGTGCTATCCACCCCTCCTCAATTTGCTTACCTTCCCGTAACCTATCCCAGGAGACTTTCCCCAGTCTGGCCTTCAGTTGGCCCTCTTGAAGTCTCAGCTTCTAGTGCTCGACCTGCTGCACGTCCCCAGTCCCCTGATCTCAAAGCAAAGGATGGAGTGATCACTCGCATCCAGAGCTCCCCTACTCTATACTTCATCTATCAGCTCCTCCCTATTGGTCAAGACCAAGTCAAGGATGTTTCCCCCCCTCGTCGCCTTTCGAACCCTCTGTGTGAAAAACGCTCCCTCAATAGCTTCTAGGAAGCGACGTGACCTGGCTGTCACCGCCGAGTTAGTCTCCCAAGTAATATCCGGGAGACTGAAATCTCCCATAATTACTGTGTCTCTCCCCCGAGATATCCTTAGAATCTGGCCTGTCAGGACTTCATCCAGGGTCTCAAGTTGACCTGGAGAGCGATAACATACCCCCACTGTCAGGTCTCTTTCCCTGTCAAAACCCCTAAGTTTCACCCAGACTGCCTCTGCCGAATCCCCATCTGTGCTGCATTCTATCTCACTGCATCCTATCCCTTCCCTGATGTATAAAGCCACACCCCCACCTCTCTTTCCCTTCCTGTCCTTTCTAAAAAGGTGATACCCTTCTATGTTCACATTCCAGACTTGCCTTTCATCCCACCAAGTTTCTGTGATTCCCACCAGATCATACCCTCCTATTCCCAGGAGAGCTTCAAGCTCTTCCTGCTTGTTACCCATGCTCCTAGCATTGGTGTACATGCACCTCAACTCCTTCCCACTGCTTCCTTTCCTTGGTGTTCGCAGCCTCCTCCTTCCTCCCATCCTCCCTGATACCTGGCCCCTCTCTGTAGGAGTCCTGTCAGTCCCTGCAGTACCTCTAAAACCCTGCTCCCAGAGCCCTGATCCTCCCCCAACACTTGTCCAGTGCAGACACATTACTGGGGGGCCTGAACCCCCCCCTCCCCAGCTCAGTTTAAAGTCTTCTGGATGAAGCTCGCTAGAGCATCTCCAAAGGACCTTTTCCCCATCCTCGTGAGGTGTAACCCGTCCCTTTCCAGAAGTCCATTGGCAAGAAAACAAGTGCCATGGTCGAGGAACCCAAAGTGTTCCTTCTGGCACCACACCCTAAGCCAGTCGTTCACCTCGGAGGCCCTCCTGTCCCTTCCTGGCCCAAATCCTCGGACAGGTAAGATTGACGAGAAGGCCACTTGGGCCTTCAGCTCCCTGAGTTTCTTCCCCAAGGCCTCAAAGTCCCTGGTGGTCCCAGCCACACCCTGCCTGGCCACATCGTTTGTGCCCACATGGATCACCAGGAGCAGCTGGTGACCCCCGGAGCGAACAAGACGCTCCACTCTGTCCTTCACATGCCAGATGCATGCGCCCAGCAGGCAGCAAACCTCCCTTGTCTCCAGGTTGGGGCGGCACTCCACCGCCTCAGTGCCCCTCAGCAAGGAGTCCCCAACAACAATCACCCGCCGCCGTACCTTCCCGGTGCTGGTGGGCGGCCGTGCCCTGGCCCTCACCTCTCCTGCAGAGGTCTCCTTGCCACCTGACATCTCAGGCTGGGGGTCCTGCTGGTCCCCAAGGCCTCATCAGCCCCAGCCTCCCCAAGTGGAGAGAACCTGTTTCCCAGCTCCAGTTTGGTGCCAGAAGAAGGAGGAGGCTGTGCTGGCCTCCTCCTCCTGTGGGTGACATACCTCCATGTCTCCGCAGCTGCTCCTCCCGTGGCCTCTCCCTCAACCCTCTGTCCAGAGGGGGGCTGCTCTGGGGGGGCCTGGAGAGCTCTCTCGGCCCTCAGGCACCTCACCTCCTCTTCTAGCAGGGTCACCATCTTGCACCGAGGGCAAGTGTATCCCTGCCTCTCCTGGGGGAGAAGGGCGAACATGTCGCAGCTCTCACAGTGGACAGCAACACCCGTGACTCCTGCCAAGGCCATCTCCTGGTCTGCCATCGGTATCCCTTCCAAGACCTTACCTTGGTCCCCTGCCTTGTTTCTCCTGCAGTTCCTCTCACTCGCCCAGTTCTCCCAGATGAAAACCCACTCGCACACACACAAGGATAAAATAAACTTAAATTTAAATTGGAAGAAAAACAAAGCACAGTACAAACAAAACAAACAAACAATCAAACCTCTGTGTCTCAGGGAAGGGAGTCTCCGGACAGCCCGGGCCGTAGCCAAGGGACGCAGACAAGGGACGACGCCCCACCCCTCTGCTCCCTCCTGGCCCCTCTAGCCTCTCTGGCCCCGCCCCCTTCCTCTCTGCTGCTCCTGCCCTCTCCTCCCCTGCCCAGTTCCTACCTTGCCTTCGCCAGTCCCCTGGCCACTCAGCACTCTCTCCCAGCCTGTGCCTCTGCTGCTCTGCCAAGAGGCCAGAGCCAAAAGGGCTTGCAGTGGCTGAGCGCAGCCTTATCAGTCCCTCAGGCCAGTGGCCCTGCCTGTCTGCTTCCTCCTGGCTCCCCTAGCCTCTCTGGACCCACCCCCTTCCTCTCTGCTGCTCCTGGCCCTCTGCTCCCCTGCCCAGCTCCTACCTTGCCTTCGCCAGTCCCCTGGTCACTCAGGCCTCCCAGCCTCTGCCTCTGCTGCTCTGCTCTTCATCACAGCAGTCTTCTCTGATCTATTACTCAGTAAGAGATTTATTTTGGCAGTCATCCAATTTCATTTGGCAGAGGTCCCAGAAAGAGAAATAGATGGCCAAGAAAAATGGCCACTTTTCCAACAAATTATATCCTTCTATAGCTTAATTCCGCAAAAATTGTTGCTTTAGTTCTTTGCCCTTGAGGACGTTATAAAGACACGTTTCAGCTTTTACACAAGCCTTAAATCCTCCCCCCGTACCATTCGCCACGTAAAGTACCGTGGGAGGGGAACTTCCTCCCTCCCTCAAAGGGACTTTTCTTTCTTTCTTCTTGTGCCAATTAGCAACAAATACAGCTTTTCCACAGATAATATTATAAAAAGGAAATAAAAATGCTCACCCAAAAGTCATCACAATAGAGAGAAAAATGCCACACAGTATAAAAGTTTCTTGGCAGATAACCAGATAGTCTTGGCAACAATCCAATATAGAAGAAAGATCCTTCTATCACTCAATTCCACAGTAATTATTTATTTTAATTCTTCGCCCTTGGAGAGATTTTTTTTAAAAAAAAATCTTTTTCTTACTTACAAACAGCTCTGTCTTTCTCTCCTCATCTCAGTTGCCACTTGAAGCTCCGTGGGCGGGGGAGGGGAATACCTCCCTCCATCCAAAGAGCATTTCTTTTTCCTTTGTGTCAGCAAGAAAAACAGCTTTCCCACGGGTAATATTACAAAGAACAAGAGATAAAAATGTTTTCCCAATAAATCCGACAACTTTTCTGGCTAAATTCCTAAGCTATTTAGTGGTATGTCGAGGACTTGGGGCACTAAATTCACCTCTGTGTTGTCCGGTTGAGAAAAGCCTGATTTTCTCCCATTGGATGTGGGGTTGCCGCCCCACACTGTCTAGGAGATTCCCCAGGCACTCTATCTTCGCCCCGACAGGGCTTAGATTGGCCTCCCACAGTCCGCTACCGAACAATTACCAGCATGATAATGAAGCCTCGTTAATCACATCTGTCTCGTCCCAACGCCATACTGGAAGTCCAAAATCGTCCTATTTTCAGTGGAACTTTTGCCCTATATTAGGGTTATGGGTGTGCACCAGGGTAGGGTTAGGGTTAGAATAACCAGGTGTCCTTGCATGATTTTGATGGTTGGAATGTGTTTAGGATGGGCAGAAATGATGAGCTGTGCAGAAAAACTTACTGAAGGAAGGCCTTTTCAAAATGGTCCTATTTTCAGTGGAACTTTACCCCCATGTTAGGGTTAGGGGTGTTTACCAGGGTAGGGTTAGGGTTTGAAGAACCATGTGTCCCAGTATGATTTTGATGGTTGGAATGTGTTTAGGATGGGCAGAAATAATGAGATTTGCAGAAAAAGCTACTGAAGGAAGGCTTTTTTTGAAATTGCTCTATTTTCAGTGGAACTTTACCCCAATGTTAGGGTTGGGGTGTGCACAAGGGTAGGGTTAGGCCAGTTGTGACAAAGCTTTGTCACGCAGAGCCCTCTCTTTCGACCTGTGAGCCACTTCACCCCAGCATCGCCCCAGCAGCTGAGTATGCTATTTGCAAGTTCTGGAATATTTTAATAGGTGGCTTACACGTTCCCTTAGCAACAGACATTATATCAGACTTCCTTTAATGTGTCCCTCTCACTCTAACTGAAAAAAATACATACAAGATAATTGCTGCTTTGCCTTTTTAACTGAGTGGGCGTGGAAATTTCTATTTCCACCTAAGATTAATTCTTTTGTTTTCCTGTATGTTACAAAATAGAAAAGCAGATTCTGTGTGTACTGCAACCAACTCTTAAGGATATAAAATTTTTGTAGTAATTTTATAAGAAGTTTAGTGATGAATTATTTATATGTCTAGGCATGTGGTGCAGTAAAACTCATTTTAAGCAACCCATGCTTTTATCTTTACACGCTTATTAAATTTATTGTTTTCTAAACCAGTCCTTGGAACTCCCCTGAGCGTACCTCACCTTGTAAGCCCGTCAATCAGTCCAGCCTTTCTACATTTAAGTACAGTTCATCAGGTATGTTTATAAGTTGATACAAAATGTATTAGTTAAGCATCATGAAAGTCTGTCTGCAACTAATGCAAAATTTCTGGGGGTTTTTGGCTTGCTTCATTATCTTCTTTTTTAAAAAAAGTAAAATATTGTAAGATTCATGCTACAGGATGAAGTGTTAAATTAATCTTGCATTCTTAGGATTGATTAGTTTTCCTGTGTTTATAACTACTATAATAACATTTACTACTATAAATGGTGGTAAAAAGAAATGCAAGTACCATCTCTCTATTTTAACTTTGTTGAACAGCTACAACAAAATGAATGGTAAATCTCAGTTTGTCAGACTTAGCACAAGCATGTGAAACCCAGTCTGACCCATGAGGTTTTTCCTTCAGTGAAGATCCCTTTCTGAGCACTGCTCTCGTTACCTTTGATATCCCAAGAACTTCTGGGTTGTGTCTCCAGTGTCTGAAGCAGCAATACATTCTGAAATTTTTTGGGAAGACTCTATTGCTGCTCTTCAGACTGCTAACAGAGCAAAGAAATTTCTGGAGAAAGGCAAGGAACACACAGAATAAAGTTCTAAGGAAGCTTCTACTTCAAGATGCTCCAGCCACCTTGAACTACCTGTTCCTGGATGTGCATCTCCCTGGTTTCCCATTGTGTGGGTGGATGGAAAGAGTCTTCATGGAATGGAGTAGCCCTGACATCCCTTCTTCTGCAGATTCGGCCCTTAGGTCAAGATTTCCACCCATAGCTTAACAGATTGCTTCTAAAGCAGGCTGAACAGAAAACTCATCAGATTTTTGCTATTTTCTACTACAGTGGTACCTTAGCTCATGAATTTAATGCATTCCACGACTCTGGTCACGACCCAAATTGGTTGTGAGCCAAGTCAAATTTCCCCATAAGGTTCAATGGAAATGATGATCCATTCTGTAATATTTTTTTTAAAATCACAGGGAAGACGGCACGATTGTGGGCACGCTCAGGGGGCAGGGAGACAGGCGTGATCATGGGTGTGCTTGCGAGGGACACAGGCACAATTGTGGGTGCGCTTGGGGGGAGATGGGTGCAATTGCTGCCATCCCCTCCCAGGCATGATCGCAGCCAATCTCCCCCCTGCCCCAGCATGACCATGATCGCATACATCTTCCCTGCATGAGCAAAATCGCAACCATCTTCCCCCCACTCCCCGCAGCACGATTGCTGTTACCAAAATATAGCCTGTAAATATTTTGTCCTCTCTCTCAGTCTGTATGTTCTCAATACATCACCACCTCTTCTTTTTGTTTTCGTTATTTCTTATCTCTTTTCTCCGTAACAGCAAAATAACACAGAGAAGCTAATCCTGGGACATTGATTAACTTTATTATACATTCCTCAAAGCTCTATCCCAAGATTTTCCTTTTCGGCACCTTCTTGGCTTTGCAATTGCATGGGAGGAGAGGGAAAGTCTCCTCCATTAATTATCTACAAATTAGAGCTTTTTGACTTTATTCCAGTTCTTCAACAACTCACAATTGACTCCCTCCCCCCTCCCCGCAAGCTGCTTTTAAGCTTGTAAAGTGTACAGCCGAGGTGCTAGCTTACTCTGGACTAATCCAGCAGTTTCAGATTGTACAAACAGGCTCTTTGTGGGTCTCACAGTCCATATCTGAGATTTAAATCTTCCCAGGAGAGAAACAAAGGAATTAACTCACATTTCATGTGTTTTTCAGTATTTCCTGATCTTTCTTAATATACTCAAATTATTTTAATCATATTTTTTCCGATGGACAGGAGGAGTAAGAATTCAGCATCTGGAGTCCATCTGAGCTAGCTCTGCCCCCACATATCCTTTTAGGATTTGAACTAATTCAGTTTCTGCAGCTCAGAATAATTTTACTGGTTCCCTTTCAATTCTGGGTGCTTTATTCTTTCAAAGGCCTTCCAGTTTCAGAACAGCTTTCACTTCACTTTTTAACATTGTGGGTGCTTATTCATAACATCCCTATTTGAAGGAGGCTGCCATCCTTTTATCTCTTCTGTAGTTCTTCCTCCTTTCCACCTTCTTGTCTTTTTATCCTGACTGGATCATATGTTCCTCTGTTGGGCTTTTAGCATGCCTAATCTAGGTATGAATTTCCGTTTGACTTCTTGTATCTTCTGGTAGAGATCTCCTCTTTTTCCTGTGATTGTTCTCTTTTATTTCTTTGCACTGTAATAGTACAAATTTGTACTACTGAAATAGCACATTGTACATCGTCATAGGTTTTTTCATCTCTATATGACAATCACTGATAAGTAGCATAAAGGATTCTGACCTTATTTCTCTCATGTTTTGCTTTTGTTTATGTCTTGTCCTTACAATTATAAGTGTTTCTTGTGTCATCTAGCCTTTTTTCATTCTTTCTTTTTCGACTTTAAATTCATCAAGTGTGTTATTTAAGTTGTATTTTGGCAGTATGCATCTGTTAGTGATCTTCAGCTTTACTGAGATGTTTGTATTTATATATCAATAGTATTAATGTAATCTGCATCTGGTGTTGGACACAAGAATTAATTCAGTTCTCTGTCTTCTGATTCCCATTACACAATATTTTTGGCTCTTCTTTGTGGTCTCTGCATCACACATATGAGCGTCTGCTCCTGTGCAAGGCCTAGACCAGGACAAACTTCAATAGCTCAGCATGCCAGAGTGGCGGGAACCCATCTCCTTCCTGTTCCTGTGTACATAGTGGAGAGGTCCCCACTCAGTTCCTTTTTGACCCCAATCACATAGATTGGGAATCCCTTCACTCCTTCACTATCTGCTAAGTACCTTACATATTTACCTCTATTTTCTCAGTCCTTCAACAGTTCTCTGTGTTTTCTTTTGCTGACCAACATGTTGTTCACTCTATTCTGCAAAAAAGAAAAAAAGGAAGATGACCACTCAAAGAATAACAGCTACATGTAGGCAACCTACCTTTTCTTATTGGCCAGCTGGTGCTGTCCATGTATATAGATGCCTGATCAGTTGCCTGAATGATATGTTTGCAGTAACTTATGTTTGGCTTCACGGAATTCTATGAATCTTTCTCCTGCTTTGCTTATGATCCTTAGGCTGAATTCTTCCACAGCATTTGATTCTGCTTTGTTTTGTACTTTGGCATTCCAGTCACGTATGGTTATCAGCATGTATTGTTCTGGTGTGTTATCAATTTCCACTTGACTGCCTATATAGAAGTTTTCAGTTTCTTCTTTTTCAGTGTCTTTGGTTGAAACATAGACTTATTTTGACAGTTTCTCAAGAATTCTGATTGCTATTATTTGGTTGAACCTTGCATTACAGCCCCTTACTGCCCCTGCTACTTCTTGTCTCGCTGCCAGAGTTACTCCATTTCTGCTGAGGTTATCATTTCCAGAGTAAAACACTTGGTGATTGTCTGACCTAAAATGTTACTTTCCAGTCCACTTTAGTTTGCTCACACCAAGTCCTGCAATGTCTACCCATTCAATTTCTTTACAGTTTCCAATTTGTCTTGATTCATACTTCTGATGTTCTGTGTTGCAATTGTAAGTGCTGTGCAGCATTGGTTTTTCCTTTTGCCTCTGTGCATGTCAGACACTAGACCTCTTTTGGGTTTAATCTTGATGCATCATTAGCTGCAGCACTATTTATATTTATCCTTTGCTCTTACCCAGTTGACAGCCCTTCAACCTTTGAGTTCCTTCTTCTGGCACTATTCCTTGCTTGATTTTTGCTTGTTTTATTATAGGGTTTACAAGGCGAGGATATTCAGAAGTGGCTTATCATTGCCACCTTTTGTGCAGTACTAATGAGTTAGCTTGAGTGTCCCTGATGCTGTCTGTGAAAGATCCTCTGCTAGTGGCACATTCAACTACCACTGCTACCCAGTAGCTGTCCTTCTCAGCCCTCACCACTGTTAGAGAGATCCATCCTCTTTTGCTGATGTGACCGTTGCTCCTGGTGGGGGCATCTTAGTCTGATGCCTCAGCATTGACCATTCCACCTTGGGTGACCCTGCTAGGAATCCAGCCTAATGGGAGAGTCTGGTCTCTTGGCAGCATTACTTTCAGCTCAGATTTCACACCTTTAAAGGTCTGTATCCAAGAGGAGGTTAATATTTATTAAGGTACTTTAATTAGCATTGGGGAAAAATGAAATGCTTCTTATTGGAACGCAATAAATGAAGAAGAGGGAAACAAATGGAGAACATGAGTAACAGTAACAACACAAGCAACATTTTTAAAATATTTTTTTCAATATTATGTGTATATTGACAAATGTAGTTAATGTGGCTATTGAACAAATTTACCTTTAAGTTGAGTTGTAGATATTACGGTGCAGATTTTAGATACTGATTTTGCTTTTTTTCCCCCTGTTGCGCTGCAAATACATTTTAAATACATGAGGTAGCTAATTCTGTTATCTTTAACCTCCTAAGGACCTGCTGTGCTTGTATACTTTTCTTAAAATGCATTAAAATAATATCTAAATGATACATTGGTAAACTAAAACTGGAACAGGTGCATAGACTTGGGTGAATACCCACATTTTCTTTATGAGAAACATAACCCTCTTTTAGGTTTCTAATTTTTGATCTAGCAGGGCTTGCCTTAGGCTCTTCCATATCTGCTATAAGTAAACTTCCTCTGTTATAAACCTTGTTTGTTACAGAGGTTTTTGGATAAGACTAGAGAATTAATTTAGAAAGGGGCCACTCTTTTATTTGTAGATACATAGTGATCTGTGCCAGAAATTGCAATTCTGTAAATTTCTGTCATATCCTTTCCTTAATGATAGCAGTTATATGGTCTTCACTGCTAACAGACTTATGAAAAAAATGCAACTCTGCATATTTAGTTCTTCTTCATGGTCCCTGTGCAATCACACCTATGGGCTTTGCCATGCAGCGTAAGGCATGGATTGGAGATAAAAACTTCCAAAGCTCAGCAAAATGGAGTGGGCAGGGGGAGCCCCTGCCCCATCCCTTCCAGAAGTCCAGATAAAGGGGTGTTCCCGCCCAGTCTCTCAGTTCCATTTCAAGTGCACATGCAGTTGTCTCACAGATCAGAACTTCTCTACTCAGCTACCTTTTGCTTTTTCTCTCCTAATTTTTCCCTCCTAATATTTCTTACTTCTATCTTGTTTCATCTTTAAATTACCTCGAGCCTCCATCCGCCTCCCTCTCCTCTCCTCATGCAGGCCACTTCTCACCTTACTTTTCCTCCACATGCTTCTCCTGGCCCTCATGGCCAATCTGACTTTTCGCTGCTTCTCCTCTTGTGCCGCCAGGATGCCTGCAGAAGACGACCATTCTCACTGCCTCCTTTGACTGGGAGAGAGATATGTGGTTGAAACGTGGTTAAAACCTGCCCACGTTGCTAAATATTAAAAAAACAGAAGCTCTGGCAGTGGGCCCATCGCCTCCGGTTTGCCCTCTGGCAGTGTGCCTTAAGCATGGGCAAAGCCTCCCAATTGGACTCCAACAAGCTGCCTTCCACCGAGGAGTCCTCTTGACTGACTAAACAATCAAAGAGGAGGGCTACTGCCTCTGCTGCCGCCACTTTGGAGGGACCATCTGAGGCCTCAGTGGCCACTAAGCGCAAGAAGTGCCATGCTACCTGACTGCCCTGCTTGCCAGCTGACTTGCCCCATGCTGACTGTCCATACACACCAGACCCGTGGGTCCTCTTGGACTGGACTCCCATGCCCCTCGAGCAGAATTCTCTGGGCAGATGCTCTCGGTCCTCACCTCATGTGACCCCCAGTGTGTGCCCCGCCTCCATCACGTGCCCCTCCTTCCTTGCTGCAAGAGTTGCTGGATTGCTGCCTTGCCACATGGCCCACAACAGGCATTGCTCTCCCCACTCACTGCCCAGGATGCTGCTGCTGTGGGGCTTGCTCTGTCATCCTGTTCCTCCTTCCTTGACTGGGATGGCTCATCCTCACAGTAACTGGTATCAGTCTGCTCACTGGACTGGTCTGATTCCCTGGACCTGCTGGCTCAGAAGGCTACATGGTGGAGTTGGATGACCACTCCTCCGACTCTTCCTCTGAGGCACGGCCTCCTGGCAAACTACCGACCTTCCAATGCCACCGCCACACCAACTGCCCACATGGTCCCACAAGGCCTACCTCCCGCCAGCCAGACCTCCACACTGACCATGCCCACCTCTGGTCCATGGTAGCAATTGAGGATCAATGCCAAGCTCCCACAGTGCTTCAGTGCTGAGAATGGGAGGAATCACGTGGCGTCAACTGAGGCAGGTGCCACCACTTGAAGCGTCAAGGTGAGGCTCCCTCTGACACCAGGGAGGCCTGGTCAACCCACTGTCCCAGCAAGGCCCAGAGTTGGGGGACAACGACCTTTCCTCCAGCCCCGATTGCCAACGCCACCTCAGACACCGAAGGGCATACAAGAGCAGGAAGTCCTCTGAGGACTTGGACTCTGACAGCTGCCCCTCCCCCCCACCACCACAACAGCAGAGCCTGCTGTCCTTTGGAGCAATGCCAGGCCCCTTCTGCAACACTTCTGATCACTTTCTCAAGGAAAAAAGAGAGGTAGAGAGCCTTTTGTCCAAAGGGACAATTGAACATGTCTCCTCAGACCTTTCTTGAGGTTTCTATTTCTAATACTTCACTGTCCCCAAAAGAGATGGAAGCCTCAGATTGATATTGGACCTACGGGCCATCAACAAATTCATCAACCCCCAGAAGTTCAGGATGACCACCCTCCAGGGCATCCTCCCACTCCTTAGGCAGGGTGACTTGTTCGCCTCCATTGACCTCAAGGATGCATAGTTCCACATTTCTATCCACCTGGCCTATAGGCACTTCCTCTGCTTCCAAATTGGCCAGGAGATCTTCCAGTTCACTGTCCTCTCCTTAGGACTGGCCACTCTCCCTGCATCTTCACCAAATGTATGGCAGTGGTATGTGCTCACCTTAGGCTGCAGAGGTCCATGTCTTCCTTTACATGGATGACTGGCTCCTAGCACCCCACTCTAAGGATGCCCTGCTCAGAGGGTTACGAACCAAGCATGACCTCCTAAGGAACTTGGGCCTCATAATCAATTACGACAATTCTGTTCTTTCCCCCAAACAGTCTATCTTCTTCATAGGGGCTTGCCTGGACTCCATTCCCACCAGGGCTTTCCTCCCTCTACCAAGGGCAGAGACTCTGGCCTAACTGGCTACATCCACCAGGACCGCTCTGTCCTCCACCGCACACACAATTCAGAGACTCCTAGGCCTCATGGCCACCATGGTGTACATGCTGCAGCTTGCTCATATCAGAATGAAGCCCCTTCAGCTGTGGTTTGCAGAAGCCTTCACAGTGGACAAAGACTCCCATGCCACCACTCTGTTCCCCCAGTGGTCAGACACTCTCTCCACTGGTGGAGCATCACAGACAATCTAATCACAGGGGTCCCCTTCTCCAACCCCAAGCCCTCCGCCACAATCACAACTGATGCCTCCAACTCAGACTGGGGTGTCCACTGCACAGACATGCTCACACAGGGCCTCTGGGACAGGTGTGAGTCTCGCCTCCACATCAACCTTCTGTAGATGTTAGCAGTCGAGAAGGCATTCACCTCCTTCCAGGACTCCCTCTGGGGACAACATGTTCAGGTGGCCACAGACAACACTACCATCATATATTGCCTGAACAAACAGGTCAGGAGCTGCTCCATCCATGCTAGCAGTTGACAGCTGGGAATGGTGTGTGGAGAGGGCCATCACCATCTCTGCCATTCACACCACAGGGCATCTCAACACCCTGACAGACTCCCTGAGCCGAAAAACTATTGCCCCACATGAGTGGGAGCTACACCCTGATATATTTCACCACCTGTCTTGAGAGGTGAGGCCTCCCAGAGGTGGACCTCTTCACCTCTCTCCACAACAGCAAATATGACTGCTTCTGCTCATGGGCAGGCCAAGGGACCTCCTCCCTGGGGGACACCTTCCTCCTTTGATGGGAGGGAGTGCTGTTCTATGCCTTCCCTCCATTCCTGCTTGGCTCCTAGGGTGATGTCCAAGACTCAGAGGGACAGGACAGATGGCATTCTTGTCACCCCATGGTTGCCCCAACAGCCATGGTTTCCCCTTTTCCACGTCTCCACCAGGAATCACATCAGGCTGCCAACACAGCACAACTTCCTGTCCCAGGACTATGACCGAGTACTTCACCTGGGCATTGAGACCCTCTGCCTGACAACTTGGAGGATTCCCAGCTGACAGACCCATATCACACTCTGCCACTGCAGTAGCAGACATACTCTGGGCTGCCCTGAACCTCTCCACCTGCAGATCCTGCTTTACAAAGTGGAGGGCCTTCAAGACTTTTGCTACTGCTCAGGGGCTCAACCCTGTCCACATCTCTCTCGAGCACATCCTGTCCTACCTTCAGACCCAGTTCAGTGCTTACTTCTCCCTCTCATCCCTCTGGATCTATCTCACAGCTCTTTTTCATTTTCACTCACTGATACAGGGTGCTTCAGTCTTTGCACACACCCTGTCGTGCTGCTTCCTCTGAGGCTTCCAGAACGTCACCCCACCGGTGTGATCCTGCACCCACACATGGAGTCTTTCTGTTGTCTTACAGGCCCTCACAAGGGACCATGAAGAAGAAAGGCAGGTTGCTTACCTGTAACTGTTGCTCTTCAAGTGGTCATCTATGCATTCACACAACCTGTCCTCCACCCCACTGGGTGTTGTCAGCCATGTCGTGCCCTCCATTCTGGGCAGATGGTGAGGGTTGGGCTTAGATACACCTTCCCTCTGCCTAACTAACTAGTGGTTTTCAAGGCTTGAGGGACTGGGTGGGACCCTCACCCCTTTATCCAGACTACCAGAAGGGGCAGGGTGGGGGCTCCTGCCCACTCTGTTCTGCTGAGCTTTGGAAGTTTTTATCTCCAATCCGGGCCTTGTGCTGCATGGCAAAGCCCATATGTGTAAATGCACAGATGACTACTTGAAGAACAACAGTTACAGGTAAGCAGCCTGCCTTTTTAGGTTAGCTGAATGATGCCTCTTTCCATCTATAACATTTGGTTTTTTCCCTTGAAATTGACAGGGAACAGTTCTTGGAAGTGCATCTAGTTTGCTGCTACAGAATTTCTCCCATCTACAACTGGCACAACTAATGAAGAATGAAAATATTCAAACAAGTATTTTGAGTTGAATAGCTTATATTGCCCAAAGGCCTGTAGACAATAATCCTGGATGAAGAAGAAGCACAAATATCTTCTGCCAAATCCATGTTATCTTTCAAAAAATAAAATATTTCCTACTTCTCTTTTAATCATGTAGCATAGTCAAACAATTTATCTGAATTTGAAAGGTTTTGCAATAACTTAATAAGATAGCTCATTAAGAGTATACAATAATGTTATATTGCTTTTCAGAAACTGAGTTTACTTGGAGAGCCTCCTGTGGACCTGCCTCAGACAATGTTAGGAATGGGTACTGTACCACCTGTGACCACAGACATGGGGAACCAGGGAGAAGCACATAACTGCAAGTGGCATTTCTTTTACATGTATTCTGAAAATATGCTTATAACCATGTTCAATGTATCTGTAATTATGAAAGGTACTTCATCTGGGAAGCACGTTCTGGCTGTGTAAGAAGGATGAATGTTTAATAAAGGCATTTTAATGATGCGTGTTATATTGATTCTTTTTTAGGATAATTTTCAATAACTGACACAGGAGCAGAAGCTCTGCTATTGGTTAAAGTTAAATTTATGAAAGAAGGCAGTAGTAGGAACAGTGATCACATAAATATATGAATTGAAATTTTGCCTCTGACTCAGCTCTTGATTTTATTCACATTCTTCCAAATTTTATTTTTTTTCCTCTTTCTTTATCACATGCACACAAAACATTGCCAGTGTCTACTCAGTAATTTTGCAGATTTGTCTGTGGAGATGCAAATATTTTCATAATGGGTATATAGTGCAAGTATCATGTTTAGATTAGATTAGGGTGAACTGTATAAAAACAAAGCAACAAGAGGCAAGAAGCAAAACACAGACAAGAGCCTAGTGCAGTGCTTGAAAAGTAGTAAAGCCTCAATGTTCTTAAGAATTATCACAACTATTCCTGCAGACACCTTATGAGGGCAACAGTCACTTCAAATTCAGCTACACTACAAGCAGTACTTATATTAGTGCTTTGCCCAGCTGTGCTATAAATATGTTGTGTACTGGGGCAGAGATGTAGCCATTCTGTATGGCCCCATTCTGTACAGCAGCTGTAAGGAACCTGACTTGGAGACTGGATCAGTGTTTCCTCAGGTGGCCCTTTTCACCAGTCATCAGTCATTTGGTGGTTTTCCAGCTTTTTCTGTAGTCTAAAAGGTAGAAATACCTAACTTACTTATTGACAGTAATTGCTTTAAGCTGACAAGCACAAATTAGGCTTGTCAGTTTCTTTGTATGTCGCTCGCTCCTTCTTAGTATCAGCCTTTGGCAACTGAAACTTGCAAGATAATTGACCAGGTAAGACTATACTTATTAGACACACTTGCTAAAGACTTACTAAATGAATATAAACACATTTGCACAATTTTCTGGTGCCACAAAAATAATTTTAAAATGCTAAAGAACTTTTGACATTTGTTCATGCTGCTTGCCCATTGGGTTATTGCTCTTCTGTGGGTTACCTGGATGGCGAGTTGCTGCAGGAAGCAGTCTCACTTCAGGTGATATGACAACCCTCAATGGCCACCTTCAGAGAATTGATGTACAAACAGATGTACATCTTTAGATGACATCTCCTTAGAATGAACTGTGCATAGCTTGCCTGATAGTTTTTGTGCATTTTCAAAACTTTATGAAAACTTTATAAAATCATAGAGCACTGTCTGTCAAATTGTCCTGATTCACACATAACAGTTGTTCAGTTTAAATAGTTGTTTGGGTTGCATGGAAATGCAGGAACTCATGAATGCACAGCTTCTTGCATTCTCTCCCATGTGCTTGTCACTTTATTTTGAATCCTCATCCTGGATTGTTACTGTGATGCCCAAATGTCTAAAAAATCCAGAGTAAACCCAACAACAAACCATAGAAAATTGTTGGTTAATTCTTCATTATTTATGGGTTAATCAACCAGAGTTCTAGAACCAGTGTGAACCAGTAGAACCAGTGTGTTACATGTGAATTATGATTACTATTGAGTTTTGGGGTGCCTTAGAATTCTTTGTCTCCAGTGCTATTTAATGTGTATGAAAGTGCAAACCCAGAGTTTATGCTAATGTGTCAATGCATGGGTGATGTGCAGTTCTGTTTCTTTTTCCCATCTAGAACTCCTAGGGAAATCCTGAACACACTCACTGGAAAGTTTTGGAATGAGTGAGAAAAATAAGCTAAAAATTAATCTAGATAAGATAGGTATTGCAGATGGGAAAAACTGTGTGTCTGGATGGAGGTACCCTTAGCTGCATGGGTTGTACTTCCCTTGAAAGACCAAGTTTCCAGTTTGTGTGGTTCTCCTGGATTTGGTGGTATGAAGGGAAGCATCAATATTTTATAAGCACATATCAGCTTTCCCAGCCTGGCCCTTTCCATATTCTTTGGAGGACAACCCTCAGTATTCCTGACTGTTGGCCATGCTGACAGGGGTCAATAGGAGCTGAAGACTCAAATATCCATAGGGCACTTAGGGTTGGTTGCAGCATCTAGCCACAGTCACACATGTGCTAGTTATATCTAGACCAGGCTATTATAATGTATGCTATATAGGGTTGCCTCTGGAAATGGCTTAGAAGCTTCAATGGACCTGGATGGAGCTGCTTTGTTGTTAGTGGGAACTAGGCAATCAAAGCTGATCCGTATTAGCTGTACTGGCTACCCATTTCCTGCTGTTTAAAGATGACTATTTTTTAAAAGTCTGGTTATATGGACTATGCATAGAAATTGATTTTTTCCATGCAGAAATGTAATCATCCCAGGTTATCACCTGATAGGGTTTAGTGAAACTACATAATAGATCTGACAGAAAATGGGGAGATACTCTAAGGTGAAATGGCCATAGGGTAGAGTTTAATAATGACTTCAGGTTCCTTTATCCAGTTGTGTGGAGGAGCAGCTAATGGATTTTCATTACTGTATGCTATGGCCCTCAGTAGTTGAGAGGGGGGAAGCCTGTG